GTTAAACTTTTATTCATATAGATTTAAATGACTCCTATAAAAGTTTATTGCTAGGCGTTATATTTTTATATTTATTTTCCGTATAAGTAACCTTGTACAAAATAAATCTTTTTTTTCCATTATATCTTCTAATTGTTATTTAAATACTATGTGTGTTTTTTTTTTCATTTTGATTACTGCTTGTTGACAAATTCTTTTATTTTTTGTGTACTTCTTTAAATGACTCCACCAGCTTTGGACCCAGTGCTTAAATGAGAAATAATATTTTGTTGTGTGAAGATACTGAAATTTTGAACTTGTTGTTACTGCAGCATTTCCTGGGTATCTTGACAGATACAAGCAACTAAAAAATAAAGATGTCCAATATACTAATATATTAGGGTAAAATTCTGTAGAAGTGGAATTGAAACAGGAATTCAAAGAGAAAAAAGAACAATAAAATTTCATACTGTTATGAAATTATGTATTTTTAAAATGACCAATAGCAGCAATCAAATCACCATGGTCTCTATATTCCAAGAGATATTTGAAAGAATGATATCCATGTATACATTTAGTGTGCCAGAAATAACATATTTTGCAACTAATTTAATTTGTACTGAAATCTTACAGATGTCTAGGAAAGTCTTTAGGGACTATAGGGAGTGTTCCTTGAGATCCAGTTGTTTTCTGCTCCTTCAGGGCAAGCTAAACTGCCTGGGCTCTTTCTGAAGAGTACAGTCCCACAGAGTTGTCCTGCTCTTTATGGGCCCTAGCCAGATGGCCCATCCCAGACTCTACCCTTTGAGGAAGACCCCCTGGTTCTGAGCTAAGGCAGGGAACTTGTGGGTCCTATTAGTGCTACAGTGAGAACAGTTCTGAGTGTCAACAAAAGGTCACTGCCACCAATCCAATGTCAACAGGAGTCCCCATTTTCAGGTGCAGTAAAAGGAGAGACTTAATTCAGGTGAACAGGAAAATGCAGACTCCACCAGAAATGGAAGGCACACTCTCACAGACAGGAGGCTGGCTAACAGAGAAAGTACTTGTTCTAGTCCTTGATTGCCGGGGCTGACCAGCAGACCCTGGGCAATGGATGAATGATTATTCTGGCACACATTTCTGTGAAAGAAAGAGGACTAAGAGTCTGCTTGGCTATAGGAACCAAACAGCCCCATTCACCTGCCTCATTGGGCTTTTATTGTAGCAATAGTTTGAACTAAAATTAACTTCTAGGTACTATCAGCAGGGTAAGTATCCTTGAGAAAACACATGTATCTGCAGTGTCCTTCAAGCAAGGATGTCTAAAGATTTCAGTAAAACCCCCGGGGGGCTCAGACTTGTTTGGAAAATTCAAGGCAGGGGCTGCTGCCTTTGGCAAGATTGCTGGCCCCCAACCTTTTGTAGGCTCCTCCTTACAGACTTTCCAACCAAGTCCCATTCTTCCCCACATCTCCCCCTTTTTTGTTTTACTGGCTATAGAAGACAGAGGGAGGCAGTGGACTTTCTGCTTTGGAATGTCGGAGTCTGTGAAGTGTGTTCACTGCTCTAGTTCTGATTTTGTAGATACAGTGGCCAGAGGAGTTCTGGTAGTCACTGTGCCATGCCATGTTAGGGTTTAATCTAACGAGCTGGAATCTACAGTGGCCCTTGGTGGTAGAAACACATGCATATCTTCTCCCCCATGTTAATAATTCATTGGGTCCTTGAGTCCTATACTTGATTGGTCCATTTTTATGCAATCCAAACTTCTACAGTTTTATTAGTCCAAATTGCACTGTTGTGATTGGTCCTTATGGAGCCACTACATCAGGATGGAGATGCAAATAAAGATATACCTTTGTATCTCTAATTGGATAGGGCAGGTCTCAGACCATTGGCCAAAATAGGATTCCAGGAACTCCTTTATAAGATTGGGCTCAGAAGGCAGGAATGTAGTGGAGGAGGCGTGGCAGCTTAGTTTCAGATTTTTCCTGACATGCCTCTGTAATAAAGGCTGCTAAACTCTGGTTATGAATTTGGGTCCAGTTATCAGAAATTGTTTTTGACAGGTATATTCCTTCTTGGGGATCAACCTAGGAAAGCTAAAATCACTTTAAGAGCAAACACTCTGAGGTCAGAAACTGGGTTTTAAATCCTGGGTCAGCTTCCTAGTACTTGTGTGTTCTTGAGGAAGTTTGTCAACTTCTTTGTCTTAATTTCTTCATTTGTAAAATAATTTATTATGTGCATTAAATGACTTAATGAATTCATAGCATTGAAAAGTGTCTGGCAGTGTGTGCTGTGTCCATTGTGTGGTACCTCTCCGTCATGACTGAAGCGTGCTCTTGGTGAGGTAGCATTTACCCTTATCCTCACCACCGCTAGATCAGCCCTGGCTTCAGTAGGTAAGCCTGGTGCTCAGCTGTCTATTGGTCACCCATCAGCATAGCCCCTTTGCATGTTTACATGAAGGTTTTTGTAGGCAGTGGCTGTTTTTAAATACAAAATCAAATACATTTTCTCATAATGATTATGATACGGGAATTTTGGACTGGAACACGTGGTGTTCCCTGGGCTCTTTGTCCGTCAGAGTCGAAGACTGTTAGGTCGTTGAAGGAGGAACGCACGAGGGCAGAATGGTGAGGGATTACGAATTTATTCAATCATCCCCACACCAGGTGGCTGAGTCTGGATGGCTCCAGAACCCAGTGATGGGAGTCAGCAGCTTTTAAAGGACTTTTGAAGGGCTTCTTTTGGGCAGAGAATTCTTTGTGCATATCCAGAGGGGAGATAATGGAATGTGGTCCCTGCAAGTGAAATGTGGTCTCAGCAAAGGGAATGTCCATAGTGAAATGGCCTGCAAAGCCAGTTCCCGGGGTGGTACATGAGTCAATTATTTGATCAGACCTAACAGAAACCACAGAGAGAAGATGGTATAGCAAGGGTGGAAATATATTGAAGAACAAGTACAGACTCCCATGTGGGGAAGGGGAAAGAGTCCCACCTAGTCCCTTCTTCCACAGTTTATAAAGGCTGCAGTTTTTTGTGCCTTGATATCCCCTCTGATTGGCCACTATCCCTTTTTGATTTGATTTGGTCACTATAGCAACTCCTGAGCTCAAAAGGTCAAACCTCACATGGGACATGTGAGGTCCTCCTCCCTTATTGTTTTCCTAATTTTCCTTCTTTGAATGAGGGGCTTCCTTCCCTTTATTTTGTAAATGTGTTTCTTTTGCTACTTCCAGCTCCCTTGTCTTATGGAAATGTAACTTCTGCTTCCCCCAATTCCCTTGTCTTATGGAAATGTAACTTTTTGCAGCTGGGTAGCCTGTGCTTTTTCCATGAACCCCTTTAATTTTTAAAAATTCCCTAAACTTGCCTATTTTACCCCTAAAAACTCCTATTTCAATACATTGTAATTAACCTAGCTATTAATAACAGGAATGGAGCAAAGGGAAGGCCAAATATTATAGCTATATCCTGTGTGCAGCTTTGCCAGGAAGCTGCAGTTTAATACTCCCTAGGTCTATTTCTTGCAGATTGCTGGGGAAAGGGACTGAACAAGGGGAGAATAGACAGATGCCCAGTAAAGTCTGGGTGAAATAGGGAAGGTGTTTGTCTATCAGTCACACCTGAGAACAGGTCATTGGTCAGCAAAGGCATGGCCACTGCCGGCATGGGAAGATTTGAGATATTTAATCACTTAAACAAAAAGTTTGATTTCTTGCCCTCTTGGCTTCTGGCACTCTCTTAGATACCTTGCATTCGCCCACATGGCTCACAGGCTATGTGTGTAACCACACAATGGACTAATAGACCTGCAACTAGCCTGATGCTGCACTAGACCCATCTACACCATGGAAAGAAAACTTTGGATGCTGACTTTGCTTCTAGCTCTACTGAATCCCGCTACACATCTTCCAGGACTAATTTAAGGGAAATGGGACTTTGGAAATCCAGAGATCTAATTCCATGCAAATAAAAGTTACTCACCCTCCTATGCGAGTCTCAGAAAATTATTTTTCCTCAGATATAGTAAGGACCCCACACCCAGCAGAGTGGGGAAAGGGATACTCCATTTCCAGCAATAATAAGTGATAGATCCTCCCTTCCCCCAACTGGTGGATGGGGTGTGACGTAACCTGCAGCCCAGAAATACCTGAGTGACTAACCAGGTACCTTATATGGACTATACATTGGACCACCAATCAACACCTGCCAAATACCCTAAGCCCTTATCCTATATGGACAATGCAGTAAGCCACCAATCAGTGTGCACCCAGTACACTAAGCCCCCCACCCCTTCCCATTCCGCCCCTCAAAAGGCGTGCCCACCCCTGCACATGTTGCTGTCTTCCCCTTGTGAGGCAGCCCGGCAGGTGCTTCTCCTCTAATAAAGCCTGTAGTCCTGGTTTTAGGCCTCCGTCTGACCTTTCAATAAGATATTAAGAAAACGCTACAATTTATGTTCCAATATGTTCCTTCCATAATACATGAGTAGGAACAGCAAAAATAGGTTGAGGAAAAACATTCCACATAAGCGTTTATTAGAAAAGATCAACAGGGACGACCCGCTGGCGCCATGGGCCTCTCTGGCTATCCACCTTCAGTGGTTCTCAACCTTCCTAATGCCACGACCTTTTAATAGTTCCTCATGTTGTGGTGACCCCCAACCATAAAATTATTTTCGTTGCTACTTCATAACTGTAATTGTGCTACTGTTATGAATCGTAATGTAAATATCTGATATTCTATATGTTTTCGGATGGTCGCGACCAGCAGGTTGAGAACCGCTGTCTGTACCTTGGAGGGTCGCCACACCACTTGGTTTCTTTCCATCTCTCCATCAGGCACAGAGGGACCCTCCGACACAGACGGGAGCCTGCACCTCACCTCCAGAGCCTGGAAGGTGCAGTGGGTGTCCGCGCAGGCGCGCCCCTCGCGGCGGCGCGCTCCAGGCGGAAGTGAAGTCCGAGGCCCGGCTGCGCAGCTTGGGCGGGGAGCGCGGGCTGTGGAGAGGCAGGCCAGGCGGAGGCGGCGGGGTTGGCGGAGACGGAGCTTCAAAGTTCAACCCACGCAAAGAAGCAAGCCTCGCGGTGTTTGCCCCTTGCGGAGCCCCTTCGCCAAGCCGGTCCTCCAGACTCAGGACGCCACCAAAGCGCGGTGAGTGGGGGTGGGCTGTCTGGCCGGAAGTGCGGCTCTTTGTGTAGCCGCCCTGGGGCGGCACCAAGGTCGAGTCCGTCTCTCGGGTCCTTCCGTGCCCTGGAAGGGATCCGCGGCACTTTGTTCCGCAGGGCCGGGCTGGGCGGTGTTAGGTACGGGGTCCTGGGACCCAGAGCCTGGTAGGCGGAGCGGGGCGCGGGCAGGTGCGGTGTGGGCTGCGAGGGCTGCTGCCTAGGTGAAGTCTTTGCACAAAAATGTTCTCTGGGTTCTTTAAGGTCTGAGTTAGATCAGATCAGGAAATTGGTTGAAAAATGAAAAAGCAGCGGGTTTTTGTTTCTGTAAGTTAGGTTTGGGTTCTTATGATTTTGATAATTTCATATATGTAATCTATTCACTTTGTCTATCCACGAAGCAAAAATTATTCTATTTGCCTGGCAGAAGCTTAGTGTTTGCCCTCCAGCTTGAAAAGCTTTTAATGTTTTCGTCAGAAAGGACATTTTGTGGCCCAGTCTGGCTTAACTTTGAAAAAGGTGCAGTTTTACAAACTGTCTACAAACAGGCTATTTTTCCTTTATAGTGTATATAAGTGTGCACATAACGGATTGTATAATGTTTAACTAAAGTCGTACATGAAAATATTTTGGAGTGTTTTGGCATGCAAGAAAATTTTTTAGATGGAAAGGTTTGTTTCCCACTTCTTAAATTTTCAAGTCATCCTTGTGTTTGTAATTTCAGGTACTTTCCCAAATATTGTATGAAACACTAGATTAATAATTTTTGTTTTCGGCAATAATAGGAGCACATTTTTAAACTTTGGTACGTATAGATGGGTTATTTTTGCATTTTAAGCTAACAATTGAACAAATCAAAGCTATTTTTTTTCTAATGTTGAAGCTACGGTGGTTCACATTGTGAAGATTTTAAGTTACTCGGGCCTGCAACGAGTGTTTGCATATGTTACTTATGTTTAGCCCTTTTGTGAAACTAAAGTCTGGTAGAGGTCCCTGAAAGCTTTAAGAATTGGAAACAGCCTGCTTCCTTGGGTTAGGCTGGGTGTTTTTGGTGCAGTAGTTACTAGAAGTGCCCAGCATATAGCGCTCCCTCTTCCTGCCTTCTGCTCTTCATAATAGTGGAAGGATTGGCAATGTGTGTAGGGCAAGTGCCTGACACTCATGAGAAAGGAGGACGCATCATCTGCTGCAGTTGCTACCCCTGCCCTCCTATCAGGCTCTCCTGTATTTGTTAGGATTTTCAGTTGTTCCGCTCTACAACTGCTTTTCAACTCATTTCTGTTTTAAGGTTAGACAGAATTGTAATGCCAGAATTATTTGAATTTTCAAACATTGGGACAGTGAGTAGTGTAATGCCATAGAACTAGAGGATTAGAATTGAAAAAAAAAAAACTTAAGTGCTCTTAAAAATATGATTTTAACTTTTTATTGGTTGTGTAGTTTAAAGGGAAATTTTTGTGAATCAAACTTTTCTTATATGAACAACTTCTTTTCCTGGATCAGTTGAGAACAATTTAAAAAGGCAGTACATTTGTTCCACTCTATATTGTAGAAATCTCTCCAGTTGTTCTATGTAGAAATACATAAATTTCTCCCAATAGATTGCAAACCTTGGTAGTGAAGGTAAAATTTGTGGAAGTTGAGAACGTTCTCCTATTATACACTCTTGATGATACCATACATCACTGAGAATTTCTGATGTTGATTGTATGAAGGGGTATTGTATCTTGTATATTGGTGTCTCAGAGAGAATTTAAGCCCCTTGATATTAGTTTTGCTGACATGAAATACTAAGGTATAAGGCCTTTAAAATTTTATAATTACTATTTTGTGGGGGAACTTTATTTAGGCCATAGCATGTTTTGAAACTAGAGATAGTAGTACAGTTGTGGGTTTTAAATATACTTTTCCTCTGGTTATTATTGGATTTTCAAATCAAAGACTTTGATGCCATCTCTTTTAAAGATAAATCTGAGATTTTTCTTCTGATGCAGGTGTCAAACCACTCAGGAATTCTGACAGTTGAGTCATTCCAAATGGAAAATATATATATATAAAAAAAGTATGACCCTCTAGATCTAGCCTTGGAATTGGGATTCTTGGTCTATACCAGCCGTGGGCAAACTACGGCCTGCAGGCCGGATTCGGCCTGTTTGAAATGAATAAAACTAAAAAAAAAAAAAAAAAAAAAAGACCGTACCCTTTTATGTAATGATGTTTACTTTGAATTTATATTAGTTCACACAAACACTCCATCCATGCTTTTGTTCTGGCCCTCCGGTCCAGTTTAAGAACCCATTGTGGCCCTCGAGTCAAAAAGTTTGCCCACCCCTGGTCTATACCAATCAAATCAGACTGGGTAATTGTGAGTTTCTGAGTGGCCAGTGGCACTAGAATCCCAGGCAGAGTAGTGATGGTGTTGTTTTTTTTTTGCCCATGCTCTCAACACACATTTATTGAGCTTTTACCTTTTCAGATACAGAGTATTGGATACTGAGCATAAAAATCACATGCTTATCATTATCACCTCAAGGAATACACACATGAGTGTGAGACTACACACTGGAAAAAATAACCATAATGTAAACCCAACTGTGGAAAGTCCCTGACAGATCGTAATAAATACCTGCTGATTGTGAAGTTATTTCATCAGATGCTCAAGCATCTTTTATACATTTTTAAAAATCTTAATATTTATTTAGCATTTGCTAAATGCTAGGTGTCGTGATAAATTCTTTATACAAATAATTCTAACTCTTACATATTATACTTTTTTTATCCCTATTTTAAAAGTTACAAAGGAAGATGGATTAATCCGTCACAAACTGAGATCTGTCTAGTTCCAAAACTCATGTCCTGAAACTCCAGTGCCAGACATTTTGAATCCAGTTCCAGTGATATTTTCACTCCCAATGGACAAAAGGAGCACCAAGTAAAACTGATTACTTCTGTGTCCAGTGGTAGGAGAAAGGCACACAGACGGGCACTTTAAGCAATGGCATGATGAACAATACAGCTCATCAGACTTTCTTCTAATCATTCCTTAAGAATAGACTAGAACTGACCCCAACCTCATATGTTGGGCCACACCAATAATTCATTCATCACCTAAGTATTTTAATTGTTGTTGATGGTTCTATGCTTGGCTAGAGCAGTGGAGTCCACATAACATGATTTGCAGGGTCAGGCAACAAAGCCAGCAGAGCTTTTGTAAGGCAAGAAGTCAATGTATGATAGGTGAGACAGATGTCAGCAGAAGTGACTCATGCAAAAAGATTGGTTTCTGTTGCATTCTGAATAATACCCAATGGCTCAAATGCCCATCACATGACCAGGTACTTCTTTAACCTCATCTTCAACCATTTTGCCCTTGAATGTTCTGTTCCAGCCACACGATCTGGAAATCTATCGAATCCTCTCTGGCATCAGGACCTTTGCACATGCCTTTCTTTCTGCCTAGAATGCTCCTCACTCAGATACCAAAATGGTTAGTCTCCCTACTCCCTTCAGGTCTCTCTCCTCAGGGGATACTCATCATTGAGCATGACCGCCCAATGGAAAGTAACAGCCATATATCACTTCCCCCTTAGGTGACTTCATTTGTCTCCAACTCACCACCATCTAAATTATGCTCTATATGCCCGTTGACTTGTTTGTTGGTATGTTCTGAGGTGCCGAGCTTGCTTGCCTTGTCCACTTTTGTAACCTCAGTGCCCAAAATAATAAATTTCCATTGGTGGAATGATTGTGATTATTTTGCTAATAGTGTGGATAGATCCCCCCTCTCCCCACCCCACCCATACACACACATTTCCATTAAAGGACCATGGTATATTTGGTTAAACAAATAACTTCAGAGCACTTACTGTATATGCTAGTCACAGTAATAGGTATTGGCACAACAGCAGTGATCAAGACATGTATTATACATGTTTGCAAGGTTCTTCCCTCGCCTCTTTGGTTGATCTCATCCTCCTCCCTCTGGCCCTTCTACCTGATTCCCACTTAGGCTCCTGACATTTGATCCATGCTCTTGTCCTGCTCTTGACTTTAACTTCACAATTCCCTCTTTTCATCAAGCTGTTTTTTTTTTCTTATATTTTCATTATGCACATTTAAAAAGTGTAACAACAATACAATGTACAGTCACGTACCCAACATCTTGATGGGACAATTATTAGCATTTTGTTGTAGTTTCCCTTTTACTGAGAATATTTTTAATTACTATAGGGATCATGTCATTTTTAGTCTTGTGTGCGTTAGTATAGATTTCTTAAAAAAAGACCTTTATTAACCAAAATACTATTATCACACTTAACAAAATTAATAATTGTTTAATGTCATTTGATACCAGTCCATATTCAGTTGTGTCCCAAAATCTTTAAAATACCATTTTACAATATTTTCAATGTAAATCAGGATACAAACAAAATCCACCTATGGTCTTTTTCTTAAAAATTTTATTTTATTGTTTAAAGTATTACAAATAGTAGTACATATGTCTCATTTTTTTCCCCATTGACCTTCCCCCGGCCTCCCCTACCCCGGCACATGCCCTTACCCCACCCTCCCAGTGTCTTGTGTCCATTGGTTATGCTTATATGCATGCATACAAGTCCTTCGGTTGATCTCTTACCACCCCCCCCCCCCCCCCAAAACTAACCAGCCTTCCCGCTGTAATTTGACAGTCTATTTGATGCTTCTCTGCCTCTGTATCTATCTTTTTGTTCATCAGGTTATAATGTTCTCTATTATCCATAAATGAGTGAGATCATGTGGTATTTTTCTTTCACTGCCTGGCTTATTTCACTTAGCATAATGCTCTCCAGTTCCATCCAGGCTGCTGCAAATGGTAAGAATTCCTTCTTTTTTGTAGCAGCGTAGTATTCCATTGTGTAGATGTACCACAGTTTTCTAATCTGCTCATCTGCTAATGGGCATTTAGGCTGTTTCCAAATCTTAGATATTGTAAATTGTGCTGCTATGAAC